TAATGTTCCTCAGATAGGTGCCTAACGCTTGTCAATGCCACACAGAAGGGTTTCCATGGCATACACTCAGTGTGACTGGGTGGTAGTGCAGGACTCTTGAAGGTTATTAGACTGTTCTTTTCACAAGAAGATTAGCTTCCCTAACAGGCACAGAATGACTTCCTAATGCTGGGTCCCCACATATGAAATAATCCACATCTCCTCAGACTTCAGAAATCAGTGGAGTTTTTGCAAAAGAGCTGCTTGGCATCAGTTAAAGTATTGAAAAACTTAGGATAGTTACTTGCATGCCACCTGCCTAACTCTAAAGCAACACCAAATCAAATTTGTTCCAGGACCTGTTATTTGTGGAGGAGGAGTTGTATGTTATTTGCAGTCATGTTATGTTTCTTTATTAGACTGAACGTTAACAAAATACACTAACGTATATGTATATACTCCTCCCAAAATGCAAATACCATTGGCCAGTTTCTGAGAAAGGAAAAGCATCCTCTGTTTACCTGTTCATTTGCTAAAATCCCCCAAACCCCACCTTTCTAGACTCTCTGAATCAATCTGGGACTGAAGCCAAAGTCACCTACTATATAGGACTGACAGAGCACAGGTGAACTACTCCTCCTGACCAACTTTAGACCCGTCATCCTTGTGCCAGACTCCACTCAAGATGGGGTTTGGCAGGAGGATATGGGTACCAAAATGGGCTTTCCTGTTAGCAGTTTGCTGTATCCATCAAATAGGTAAGAAGTTCTCTTTTTTATTGGGAAAAGAAAAAAATACTCTGTTTAGGTCTAGTAATATATTTTAAACCACTACATGCATTGTATTGTTTCACTTAACAGATGGTTGCATTTAAACAAGATTTCTTTGTATTTTTCTTTTCAATTTTCATTAAATATTTAATGTCTTTCTATTAACTACACTGATTTAATTTAATATTGCCTCAAACTACTGCATGTAACTACATTTGGAAGGTAGCCTTGAAGATCAAATCAAAAAGAACCATTATTTATGTCTTAAAATGTCAGGTTTTCAGCATTGCTTATGCCTTACAAAAGCATTTTATTCCCGTTGCATTTTGTATTAGGATTGATTATGAATGTTATGGTTTTTACTGAATTTAAACCACTATTTTTTCCAGTTGCTAGATCAGACCACTGGTCAATCCTTTACAGTATTTTGTCACCTACCAGGAGCTAATACCAGATTCGAGATTTCTTGCAACTTATTTTGCAAAAGAGACTAGAAGGGAATATTCTTGAGGTAATGATTTTCAGTAACTGACTGTGCATTGATAATACCCTATGCAAAATATTTATATAAATTACTGATATTGACCATGAGCAAGACTGGGAGATATATGTGACACATGCAATCCATCATTTTGTATGTTTTTTTTTTCTCCTGTGAATCTTTTATCATACAGGTCTGATCTTGGCTGTTTTTATTAATATGAGTAGCCCTATTAATTCAATGGGATCACTCAAACTGAAATTATTTGCATGAGTACAAACTTGCTAAGTCAGTCCCATTCATGTACAGTAGTTACTGCCCTGTCAGCTAACATTTTTAAATCTTCAGATTGCCTATGTTAATTTATTTTATCATTTTCATTATCATTATCATATTATTTTCAAAATACTGACAAGTGCAAATACAATTTTAGATTGTGAAATAAACACTAAAATACTATCAAGTTCATTTAAGCACAAAATACAAGTCACTTAGAATATAAGCTTACATTTAGAGTTATGCAATGTCAGTCAAAAGTATCTTCAGCCATTCATTGAACAAGAAAGTTTTTTGTGCTGTGCTATACTAATCTGATAAATTGCTTTGGAAAATGAATAGTGGTTAGACAGTGTCCAGCAAGCTCCTCTTTATTCGAATCACAATCCATGGAAAATATTTTCAGATGTCCTAAGTGACTAAAGAATATTGGACCAATCCCATGCCATCTCCACAGATATTCTGTGCCTGACTTGATATTTTGGGTCAAATATTAACTTTTATAAATTGGTCATAATGGTAATTGCATATGTTGATTGGCAGCTGGATACAGACATAGCAAGATGCATCCAGAAATAGTCTTAATAATTATGTCAGTTCCCAAACTGTGAAATAGTAAATTATCTTGACTATTCTTACAACTGAGAGACACTTATTTTTATAATGGTCAACAATATGACATTGTGCAATTGCTAAATAAACCCGTGCAGCTAGAATTTCCTTGGGAATGATGTGTTTACTAAGTAAAGAAAAGCCCCTGCTGTTTCCTTGAGAAAAATTAACAGACCAAAATACATGTATGTACTATTTTTCTCTGTTACAAAGGTTCTCATGCCAGACTAAACAAACATTCTATGATTCTATGCCTGTTGAGATTCCTATAGATGTGTTGGGTGAGAGTAAATTCTGACCTATTATTAAGACTTACAGAGGCATTTTTCTCACTTGATCAGTATCAATTATAATTATATGAACATGTTTACCTAATAATATTATCTGTGATACTGAAAGACTAACAAGTAGTGGTTAATGGTTAAACTCTGTCCTAAGTTACTGCTTTGTACAATGCTAGTGGTCATGCATAAAGAGAAAAGAATTAAAAGCTTGGGTCTGAAGGAAACTGCAGATACTGCAGCAACTTCCAGTTATGGTGAGGCTGCCCAGAACCCTCTTACGCAAAGCCCGTAGACTCTTGGGGACTTCTTTGGGAGTGAGGGCTTGAACCCCTTCAGACAGGAATCCATCAGCTCTGGGATCAAGTACTCAACCCGCTTACGTGGTGGGCACAGACAGAAGTTATATTAGAAAAATAATTTTTAAAAATGGTGCTCCTAATCCAGTAACTTTTAAGGCAAAGGTAGTTGTCCAGCTTTCATGGAGGTATCTTAAGTGGAGGTTCTTAAGTGGAGGAGGTATCTTAAGCAGAGGTTCTTAAGTGGAGGAAATGCTCAGCAAGGAATGTAAGCACCAAAGGGGACTGAGGTTTATGGCACACCCCTGACTTCATCATTTCCCCCTCTTCCACCAATTCCCTGTTCAGTAAGATGGGTGTTATGGATCCAGCTCTGAGTCAGCGGACTCTTCCCACCTAATGTATAAGGAAAAAAGGGGCTTAATTTAGGTCTAAATTACATAGGGAGTTCCTATCTGAGAAATTCTCTAGACACCTAGAGTGCTCATTCACATAATCCTGGTCAGGATTCAGATATTAGTAATTTCAGCACCTAAATCCTTTGAGGATTTAGACTTGGCAGGTTATAGGTGCATGCTAGTCAACATGTTCCAAGCACAGTTATCACATGTTGACCTGATTCAGTCCTTCACAAAATAAAGTTGTAGCCATTTTTCTTTTACAGGGAATGCCTGCCATATTTACTTATAAAAGACAAGAGCTTAGAGGCACCAATCTAGGAGTTCAGGGTCAGTCTTTTTTCTAGGCATGAAAGTGTTCGGGTCAATATTTGTCATCTCTCAAAAGTCTATGCCAATACCTCCTCTGGTATGGTATTGCTGGGCCATGCATGAAAAGGAATTAAAAACATAGGGAGTCATGATAGAGAAAAGGTGAACTCATCTGGAAAACAGTTCATGTAGCTGACCCAGTAGCCATTTAACTCAAGGTACAAAAGTAATCCTTGAAGCAAGACACAATAGGACATTTTTGATGTAGCTGAGTGCACTAATCATGTGGTCACATGATCATGACCTATTTTTCCCTCCTTTGTTACCGTCCCACTGTCTTCAGCACCGTGTGTCAGCTTCAGGTGGGGGTAGGAAGAACCCTTGGTCAAATAGACTTACAGTATGATTCCTAAGGTTCTGTGCAAAGAAGATGTGAGTTTGAACCATATCAGAGTGAGAAGAGGGGTAGAACAGGAAACCTAGTTCTTTGGGTTACTTCTCCTGTGTTACTGCTCATACTATGGGCCCTTGTATTCTCACTCAGAGATACCTTCTTGCATCCAGCTGTAAAGCAAATCTCGATCCCTGACGGAGGCTTTAGATTTGCTCCGGAAGAAAAGACCCTATGCTTAGGTACTAAAGAAATGGGCATATAAATATGTGCAGTCATTATCGAATCAAACTCTAAGTCCCTTGTTTCTTTTAACCAGTTCTGTGCCTTTTCTTATTATTACCTAGATATTACATAGCAATTTTAATAAATGGCTCTCTTATATTTTGTGAATTCTTCTTGTAATTGTTTCACATATTAGTGATATATAGTGCAGCAGTGAAATAAGGGCTGTGATCCACTCATTAGAAACCCTTATAGTGAGTTTTAAGGGAAACAAAGAAAGCAGATATACATGAAATGTTATTTGGATTTCAAACTCTGTGTATTTATAATACAATGTCTCTTTCTACAATTACATTTTACCTTTCAGGGGGGGCCTGTATGATTTTTTCTGATGTGGTAAGGGGCTCTCCGTTTTGTATTACAAAGATGTATCTGTGTCCTTTGATCCTATCTAAATGCTTTGTTTGAAAAGTTCAGATACAGGACATGGAAATTAATATGCTTTTTTTACCATTTCTTCACAGGAGCCCAGACTGAAACCCAACAGGAAAAAGGAAGTAATTACACTGAGACTGTTCAGCAGAAACAAAACAGTATGTTTCTTTATACTGTGTATTTCTATTTATTTGCTACATCTCTACTAAGTAATAAAAATGTCTAAAAAACCTCCTTAGCATATTAATGGCAATGTCAAATAAAGATAAATGTGTATTAAAAAGCATCTCTATGTATAAGAATAGTAATAACTTTATTAGATACCAATTGGTAAACACACACAGTATGGTTATATTTGTATAACAACAGGTAACTAAGAAAACAGATGTGTGTTTGTAGAGGCTGTATGCATACATGCATGAATATGTATATATAAAATCAAAGTGGAATATATGTGCAGGATGTTTTGTTCCTTATAAACAAGGAAATCAGACCACCTTGGAAAGCTGTAGAGTCAGCAGCTGATGTTGGGAAAACAAAGATGGCAACTCAAATTCACTGGTTTTTACCAGGTAATGATTTGTGATCATCCTGTACAAAGGATTTGTGGTCATTTATAAGGGTTTTCAGTCCCATAATGGAAAAATATTAAAGAGATCAAAGGGAATAATTAATGTTTTTATTCCCTCTTTAGAAAGAGAAGCTGTAATATGAAGGAAACTATGCTTTTGTACCAGTAGCACGCTAATTCAGTACAGCTTAACCTTTTATATTGTTCAGTGTGTCTGAAGCCCTCCAATATGACAGCTGTGAATTTCTGCCTCTCCTAACGCAATACAGTTTCATAAAATGGTCAAAATAAAAAGGTAGAAAATGCAGACCATTACAGTTGCAAGCAATTTTTTATGATTTAACAATCATAAGATTTTGAATTTAGTACACACTTTCAACCTGATCCATGGCCTGTGTAAAATGAAACAGGCTTAACATTGCTTCATTGGATCTGGCATTATTTACTTTCTAGTCCTTTCTAGGTCAATTTTAGGTGCGAATTTTGGTATTGTTATACTAGTTTTTGTTTTCTTCTTTTTTTCTGGCTTCTGCTATAGTTTCATCTAAGGTGAATATCATCCAGCCAATGCTGACAAATCCAGTAATAACACGTAAGTAAAGGAAATGAAATGTATTCAATATGTTTTCAGTTTTAGGGGATGCAGACAGATGAATATAATACAAATAGGGAAAGACATTGGTAAAGGAAGTCATGGATTATTAAGAAGAAAAAGTGGGTGGTTAAGAAACATAATATTGAACTGTTATTTTAGCTGAAATCAGGACAACTAATAAAGTTCTAGCTCAACATAACTATAACCATTTGTAGGGGTATGTAAGATGAGTAACAGATATGAGTGAAGTATGAATACAGAGTTTTATAATGGATATATGGACAGAAAATAATAAGTGGCGGTAAGTAGACAAAAACTACTCAGTGACAAAATGAAGCCCTGGACAAGATGATTTTCACCATGTTAAGGTTGGGAATTTTAAGTCATTTCTTTACAGCTCATTTAATTCACAGCTTCCAATCCTGCTCACAATGGCCGTGTGTGCAGCACATGGGGCAACTTCCACTTCAAGACCTTTGATGGAGACATATTCTCCTTCCCTGGGCTCTGTAATTATGTTTTTGCATCCCATTGCAACACTCCCTATGAGGATTTCAACATCCAGATTAGACGCATAGTAGTGGAAAATGTTCCAACAATCAACCATATCACCATGAAAATTGAAGGTATAGCTGTTGAACTAACAAAGGATATTGTCGTGATCAACAGCAACAGGTAAGTTTATTCATAACACTTTTTTGGTAACCAAAGGCTTTTTTTCAAACTTGCCAAGTACTGTGGTGTATTTTGGGGGAAAAAAATCATGTGTTCTTCAATAAATCTGACAATTTTACCAAAATAATTAATGAGGAAGTTGCTATTAATTCCCTTCACAGTAAATCAATTCTCCCTTTAAAGATTACCATGAAAATTAAATTTAGATGAAAAATCCTGAGAGGTTGGATCCAAATTCAGATTCACATTTGATGGTGTTAGACCATCTTATTTTTTAATCACTTTGTTTTCCACACAACTGCATTATTTTAGAATTCATACAGATACTGGATATCACAAGCCTTTTTTTTGTTATCAAACATCTGGGTCAGAAAATACCTAGCATTCTTTCTGTCTTTTCCCAGAGTTCAACTGCCATATAGCCAATCTGGAATTACAATAGAGAAAAGCAGCATTTATGTGAAAGTTGCCAGCAAAATAGGTGTTGTGTTAATGTGGAATGAAGATGACAGTATCCTGGTAAGAACTGCTCCTTGACTTTACACCTTCAAAGACCAGAGCTAATCTTTGGTTAGGCCAGTCCCCATCTGTTTAGGGGGTTACTACTGCCTTCTCGTCTCATACTGTTGAGCAATTCTTTCTTAATAAAGATAGATTTTCATCCAGGTAGTCCTAGAGAAAATTACATGGATTTATGTCTAGTGGATAGCAGTCATCTGCTTAAAATAGTGTGAAAAATCATTTTTATTATATCATTAACATATTATCATTGTTATAGGGCCTACTTACCCCTTCAAATATAATTTTCAAGCAGGATTTCACTCTCTTAGGACTTAATTTTTGCTATGGATTTGTTTTTCTTTCTGAAGAGTGAATAAAGAAGCTGAAAGCAATATAGATACTATAGTGAAAACTTACATCTGTATCAATAGCTTGGACTCTGCACTGTAAATCAAATTCAAGACAACTCTTCATTCTGTCCCTCAGGTTTTAATTAGATTGATAAATAAAATTACACAGATCTGATAAAAAATACTTACAGACAGCAGATGCAGGTGCCTTCAGTGGTCTTGAATACATTTTAGAATGTTTATACTAACTTCTAACAACTTGCTGTCTATAATTTTAGCTGGAATTGAATGACAAATATGTCAATCAGACCTGTGGACTTTGTGGGGACTTCAATGGCTTTCCAATTTACAATGAGTTCTATTCAAATAGTAAGTTCTCTAAAAAATAAAAATTGGTTTCTGGAGTCTCCAACATGCTTATTTTGTATTCTTTTAACTCTAACATCATCAGCATTCCTCTTTCCTATCTTGTTAAATGATTTACCCAGAAGATATAATTCAGTCTCTGTTGAAAAATGTGTAGTACAGAGATCAGATAAGGTGATTTAATACTTTAAGTATAAACATAGCACTGATGCTAACAACTGATTGCATATTTCTTGTATGTCATGTTTTTATTGACCTAATCAGCTAAGCCCATAAAAATGAGCCAGATTTTAACTAATAACATAAATATAGAAATATATTTTTAACACAAACAAACAAAACAAAACAAGACAAAACAAAAATGGCAATTGTATTTTCTAGTCAGTACATGTATTGTTTCAGTTCTGTCTTAAAATTGATATATTCACATTTGCCTGATGAACTGCATAATCTTTGTAAGATCTTATCTTCATCATACTATCTATTTCCAACTTGGGCTTTTTCCTAAATCTTGTCTCACAGCAGTCTCCACTGTCCAAATACCTATTTAGATTCTTTTCCCTCTTCCCTGCATGGGTTCAATATACTCTGAAAACAGTTTGTTGTTTTTCTGGTAAAAATCTAAGTTTGCATCTAGATGTAATAGGCTGAGAATTGTTTTCTAATGTTTACTTTTTCCAGGTAAATTACAAGGTAAATTGAGACAGTGATGTTGTGCTTCCTTTGGAAGGGGTGGTTATAAAATTCAAAGACCTAGGGGAACTAGCTGCCTTAGCCAGTTTTGAGCAGAATTCTTGATAGGACAAAAAGACAACAGGCAGTTGCATTGAACAAAAAAACTCAACCTTGATTATTAAACTTCTTTTGTACAGATATTAAGATGACAGCCTTGCAGTTTGGGAATATGCAGAAAATGGATGGGCCAACAGAACATTGTGAAGACTCCACTTCCACCCTGCCAGATAATTGCACTGATAATTTTGTAAGGATCTTTTGAATATACTTCTATTTTTCTTTCAAATTTATGTGTACCCTTCTACAGCTTCAGACAGGTCAACAGGAAAAGCCCTCAGGTGACAGTAACTTAAAGTGGGATATAAGATTCAATTAAAGAATAGTTATACAAAGTAACAATACCAAACATTTGCTCCTTTCTATTTTCTGGAAGTTGTTTAATTTTTTCTCCCAAGGATGACATATGCCAGAAAACATTGACCAGCCCTGCATTTGCGGAGTGTAATGACCTAGTTGATGTTAGAGAGTACATTATGGCTTGCCAAGATGACTTGTGCCACTCCAGAGAGTATAAAAATGCCTCATGTATCTGTGACACCTTTGCTGAATACTCCCGACAGTGTGCTCATGCTGGTGGGCATCCTCTGAACTGGAGAACCTCAAAACTGTGCCGTAAGTATCAGTGGAGAGAGCCTTACTTAATGATCAGTAACTAACCAACAGCAAGCTCTCAAATAATATTGATGATGCGTAAGAAATTACAGGCTATTCAAGATTGTATTATCCAGAGGGTTCTGATGTACGAGTTCCAGCACGGAGACTTCAGCAAAAGAGCTAAGGGTTTTAATGCAAACTGGATTAAACACTATCAAACACTTACATGGATACTCTAATTGAGAGTCAACGTGTTATTCAATTAACTGGAACAATAAAGGAAGCAAAAAAAGGAGAGAAAAGGAAAAAGAGTAAGACATGTACTTGCTTGCCTGTATTCCTGTTTCTCTCCTTTTGTCACAATGGCTATGGCATTTTTTATTCTCCGTTATTAACTGGGTGTTCACAGGTGTCTGCCTGGTTAAACACTTACTTATCTCCTCTTGCTTGCTAGTGAGAGGTTTGCACCATCTTCATAGAGATTTGCACTGGATTAAACACATACTAGATTATGGGGTGTAACTGGTGATACTGTCACTAGCATTTGCTCCAAAATAAAAGCCCATGAGGTACTATTTGCCCATCCAATGGTATCTGAAAATGCAAATATACTAGAGCTCTAGGAACTTAAGTCTTGCATTTCACTAGCAATACAGGTGTGTGTTCATGAGAAGGGTGCCTTCAGTAGAAACACGGGCCTTGCTGACTTTGTAGCATCATTACCTTGCTGTCCCCAGAAATTGAGTCATTGAGCCAGTTCAGCACCAGACAGTCATGGAAAACACATCTCAACTCTAAAGTATGGATCCAGGTGACTAAGTCTGCAGATTCTGAGAGCTGGCAGTTGATCTGCAGTTTAGTGCGGTTTTACAGCTAGCAGAAAAACTTAAGTGAATATAAATATTTTCATATACAGTGAATTATAAATACTTTTGACTGAAAAAAAAATATATCTCCTCCTTTAAAATTTCAGCCAAGAAGTGTCCTTACAACATGCAGTACCAGGAGTGCAGTTCCACCTGTGCTGACACATGCACCAATCCTGAACGATCTCAGTTTTGTGAAGAACACTGTATGGACGGTTGTTTCTGCCCCCCAGGCAAGTACTTACGTACTCACATCTCTGATCTCAAAGAACAACAGCTTACCTGTAGGATTTGGACAGGTTCCATGGGACTTAATCCTCCTATATTCATGTTTTTCTCAGATGCAAGTGAGAAGAATTTGTCATGTCTCAGCTGAGAAAAGATATCTGAATTAATTGCCAATACATGTGCAATATTCAGAAATTACTCTTTAATTGATCAAGGTTTTCTCTCTCTCTTTTTTTTTTTTTTTTTTTTTTTTTTTTTTTTTAAATCTAGGGACTGTATTTGATGACATCAACAATTCTGGCTGCATTCCCCGTCAGCAGTGTTCCTGTGTTTACAATGGCAACACCTATGCTACAGGAGCTTCTTTTTCAGAGCAGTGCCATTCCTGGTAACCTTTGTCACTTTTCTAACTTATATTTCCTCTCATACATTTAATGAGTTTAATGGGTATATGAAATTGCATCACTGGTAATTGATATGTATATTTAACAGACCACTACAGTTCCAAAATAACACTAAAGAACATTCTTTGTTTTATTTAGCAACAGCCTTAACTAGTTTTGCCCTATAACTCAAGGTGATCAAAGCAAGGATTTACAGCGTTTAGATTTCTCACCAGTCAATTAAAATTCTTCTTTGTTTATTTTGTTCAAACATTTAGACTTCTCTAAGGGGAATGAAGCTGCATTCATTTATGTATTTGCAAATATTTATTTTCTCGAGAAAGCAAGGGATGACAGAATACAACCTCGATGTCATATTTATTGATCCTGCACCTCTGCACTACTACAATACCTTAGAAAACAGATACAATCTGCATCAGGAGTAGATGTCATGTTACATTTTTGTTAGTTTCTGATACATTTGTATAACAAAACAGAAGAGATTTTAATTTGTCATTGTGCTTTATGTTAGATGCAAAACCCAAGGAATTACTCATCCAATACCTGTTGCTGGAGAGTTCACCTACCCAAAGAAGGAAAAAAAAATAAATAAGCAAAGTGAATTCATACAAGAGTCATTCCTTTCAATGTGTTGCATCTCATGTTCACAATGCTTTGGAAAGTCTCAAGCCTAGATTTACTATGTGTCGAACTACAGCTTTAAGGGGAAAACAGTAGCAAAATAGCTGAACCTAATGCCACTATGATTCCTTCTACTCTGGACCACTGTCACTGATTTCAGCTAACTTTATTCTCTCTCTTCCAGTACTTGTGATGGAGGCCAGTGGAGCTGCCAAGACATGTCATGCCCAGGAACATGTTCAGTAGAGGGAGGTTCACACATTTCCACATATGATAAAAAACATTACGATCACCATGGAGACTGCACTTATGTCCTTTCTAAGGTGGGAATCAGATATTACTAGGTCGTAAAACCTTATACATTTATAGAAAGAAAAGGTGATTTCAATCAACACTTTTTAAACTTAACTCTTTTGACATACAGACATTAAATTGCCTCTCATGTAGCCATATGTTTACTAGAACATATGCTGCCATTCAAATTACAAACATCAGTTAACTATCAGGTTGTCATGCAACAGTATATGGTGTTTACAGGGTAATTTCCAGTTCTGTTCTGCAGTAAATGCTGAAGAGCATTGCCTTTTTTAGGAACTTGCTTAGTCTACATTCTTCAGTGTGATTAATCCAGCTTTCTTACTTACAGTTTTTGCCATGGCACTGTATTATCCGGTATCGGGCCAAATGGTTCAAGTCTGAAAACTTACACTAACAGTTCTGAAATTTTTTTTTTTTTAATTTATAAGACTAATATTTTTATTTTATTTCTGGGAAGTTCAAATACAGAAAATAATGTCAAATAAATTTATAAATTTTATTTAGTTTTTTAACATTTTTAAACAGTTTTAAAAATAATTCAAAGTACATATAAAAATTAGAAGTTAATTATAATAAAAATATTTATTCACAGCAATGTGCAAGTGAAATGTTTTGATATTTTAAGGGCTTTTTCTGTTTGGTCTTTGTTCTCCTTTGTTCTCCTTTTCCCCATCTGCACAATTTGGTAAAAAAATAAATGCTGATATTACTGTTCTCCTGAAAAATGTCTTCTCTAGCATTGATACTGGCTACAGAAAGATGAGCGATACAGTAGTATTGAATCAAACATTAGAATTGGGCATGAATATCCAAATACAGATATCATCAATAAAATGCAAAACAAGAATCTGATTAACTTGTTGTTTATAATCATTACAAAAGGAAAAAAAAAAAAAAAAAAAAAAAAAGAAGGCCTGGGATTTGGGAGAGTCTGGATCTTCTCCAGAAACAAAAATATTTTTTCAGAGTTGAAAGAAAATTTTACAGGGAAAGCTTCTCTAATTAGCCTTTCATGAAATAACTGTTGGCATTTTTTTTCAGCACTGTAAAGATGAAGCATTCACCATCCTGATAGAACTACGCAAATGTGGCCTAACAGACACTGAGACGTGCTTAAAGACAGTGACCCTCAACATGAATAAAGGACAAACTGTAAGAATACAAAAGAATAATGGGAAATTACTGTTAAAAATATGGGGAGCAAAGAAACTAGTCCTTAATCAGTCAGGGACCTGCATTTTTCTCTCAATTGATCAACCTATGCAGTAAGTACCTGTTATTTTTAATCAAGTGAAAAGAAATTTTGTTATGAAACTCAGATCAGCCATAAATTTGGCTTTGTGGAAGTTCATGAAGAAAAACATGGTACTCACAAAGCAGGAAAAACCTATTTTCTCTGCCAGTTAGATGGAAAAACATGAGCTTTTAGGTTAGAAACAAGTATGGTAGTAACAGATGCAAATTATCATAAAGATGTATTCAAAGAAACAAAGATGGTGTAATTCCCTAAGGAGTTGAATGAGTCTCTTTAAAAATAATTGATTTATGGCACGAAAAACTAGCAAAGTGTACAAAGTGGAAAGAGAGAGGAGGTGAAATCACAAAAAGCTATGTTTTCCATTGAATAACTTTTAATTTAATATCGTTCAAGTCACCACCATTATTACTCTTTGAACTATAGCTATCATTCACACAGTTGTCTCTTGTTCCTATTCCTTATCAGCTCATCGAGGTCAAACCTGATGGTGGTGTGTTCGTCAACTCAATCTACACCCATCTGCCCATCTCAGCAGGTATTTTTTTCTCTAACAGTTTGCGAGTGATAAGCTCAGAGCTCAACACTGTGCCTGCTTATTTTCTTAAACTATGGAAAATAAATGGACTGTGAGCTGTTCGGAACCTGCATGTTCACACCTTGGTTCTCTTTCCTGAGTCACACAAGTGCTTTTGAAGTAGAAGTGGGAAGTTTGATGTCATAAAGGAATGGGAGACAGTACAAACATAGACAAGAGTTCAAACAGAAACAAACAACATTTACAGTCTCCTGATTTGATCACTGTACAGTCTGCTTCCCTTTCATCACCCAAAACTGAATACAGAAGACATCTGTTTACCTCTTCTACCTCTCACACTTCCTCAGGCAGAAATTTTATTTTTGCTCTCTGTCTCAATAACTAATGATTCCATGCAGTATCTGTGACTTCCAGACCTGCTTGTTTTCCCTCTCCAGTGGAGTAAGGGCTCCAATGTATTATATACAAGCTTAGAAACAAAAAGTTTTCTTTTATATGCACAGTGCCATACAGTTTTTCCTTCTTGTTCTCTTTGAAGGAGTAATCTTCAACTGTGGAGACAGAAAATAAAGTTAACTACTTGGTAGTTACAAGAAAATTTTGAACTCTAAATTTTTATTTAAATTTCTGATTAATTTTCATAAGGATTGGCTTTATTTCACCTCAGACTTTGCAACAATTGGGACAGAAATTCAAGAAGAATAGTATAATGATGCAGTTTCCAGCATTTGACTTCATGCAGAAAGTGATTGTTCTGTTTTCCATCTGTAGCTAATGTCATTGTGTTCAGACCTTCATCATTCTTCATCATCATGCAGACAAACTTTGGTGTCCACCTTGAAATCCAAATCACACCCATCATGCAAGTGTTTGTGAGGCTGGATCCTATTTTCAAAGACCAGACATGTGGTAAGTGAATGAAATACAAGAACATGTTGCTTAATGTCTTTTGTCTAGTATGAGGAGTATAAACTCTTCACTGATTTTTCAACAGGTCTCTGTGGAAATTTCAATGATATCCAAACTGATGACTTCAAGGTCATAAGTGGAATAATCGAAGGAACAGCAACAGCATTTGCTAATACTTGGAAAACTCAGGCTTCATGCCCTAATATCCAGCAGAGTTTTGAGAACCCTTGTGCGCTCAGCATTGATAATGGTGCGTGCTTAGAATTTTTTCTAAATTTTTTTTTTGCTCATCCCTAAGGAAAACACATCTCTTGGAGAGCAAAGATAAGAGAATAAGATTGATATACTTGGTAAAAATATACATCTGGAATCAGAAACAAATATTCAAAATGAAAGCACTAGGGATAAATAAAAAAATAAAGGAAGAGTCATAGAAATATAACCAAAGGAAATTCTATGGTCATAGAAAACAGAGAGGATGTCTAAGCTGACAACTTGCTGTCAAAGGAGTAGATTGCAGGAGTATCTCTGGAAATCTTTTATTCATCCCCTTCAGCTAGTCCTCTTTGTTTTTAGGAACATTAGCCTCCAAGCTGAGTGGAAAAAAAAAGATAGGAGAAAGAGAGGTTTGATGTAATTTCAGAATTGGCTTCATAGACCAGGACAGTGTGTCTTTGTGACTAATGAAACACAAAGCATAATATGCATCTGTACTGTTTGTTCTCTTCACAGAAAAATATGCTCAGCATTGGTGTGGACTACTAACTGACAGCAAAGGACCTTTTGCTGATTGTCATTACGCAGTGAATCCCTCCATTCACCACACGGTACTTTGTTAGACTGATTTTCCCTTTAGAAACAACAGAAATAGGATCATTACAACTAGCTACCAGAAAAGGACCATTCCAGACATGTCTCTTGTCATATACAATGCCTGTATTTTCAGTTCTGTTCTGCAGCACATCCTTCTTTCAACATGTGTTTCTGTTTGTGTTGTAACATTACCTTATTTCAAATGTCAGCCTTGGCTTCAAGATCATGACCTGCTTGTAAATGAAACGGCAGCTACTTACTCCTGGATGGATATATATATATATAGTAGGAACTGTATGTAAAGACATGTCAGATGCTTTCTTGAGTATCAGCGTTGTCCCATCAACCTCATACCTCTGGCACAGAAAGCCTATTAGTTAATTATCATAATTCTGCTATCAGTGTGTCACCAATCTTTCTTTTCTCTATGAATCACCCATATATGGACACTGGTGAAATGGCTTGTCTAGGCTGCCTACTGTGAATACAACTTTGTATGCTACTGAGTAGCATATTTGTAAATATGGTTCAGAGGAACATGAAGCTGTTAAATGTATAACAGACTTTAAGAACACTACTTCCCACTAATAACTGCAGACATCAATTGAATTTCCATTCAGTTAATTTTCCATTAATTCTCCCCTGCCAGAAAATTTAGACAAAGACTGGAAATTGATAAAGCTATGTTAGTATTGAGTGAGCATATCTGAAGAAGGTTTAGTGCATATGTCCAGAAAGATAACATTAATACTTTTTTAGATTGACAATATTACCAGTGCTGAGACTTTATTTTTCTCTACATTCTTAGAACTGCATGTTTGACACATGTAACTGTGAAAATAGTGAGGACTGTCTGTGTGCAGCACTGTCTTCCTATGTGAGAGCTTGTGCTGCAAAAGGAATCCAGCTGCATGGATGGAGGACTGTTGTCTGCTGTAAGTACTCTTAACTATCCCCTTTCCTAAGAACACACAACATTAAAAACTGATGATCAGAGATTATTTTATGTGGATTTTTAGACAAATACAGTAAGTGTTGTGGAAGGGATTTTGTTAAGTGCGCTCCTGGAAGTAATCCTCTGCTGTTCCCTTAGAATCAGTCCATTGTTGCAAGGGTGAATATGAATTGATGGCAGACATAGCTTGCTTAGGAAAGAGATTGCTATTGTGGAATTGCCTCCACCTGTTCCTGTGCAACTTTGAATTTCACTATAGTTTTATGTTTCACAAGTTATTGTAGAGCAACTGTGACATATTAGGATAACAGTAACACTAATACTACCCAGAACACTTGCAAAGGAAAGATTTCTCCAGCTGCATGCTGGGTTCTACTGATCCAGTAGGTCTGTTTTCAGCATACCAGGAGACATTCATCTTGTCTTGCACCTCAAAAGATTTAGAAGTCTTGGCAATTAATGGCAGTGCCAAATACTGGTTTCTTTATGAAATTTCATGTGAAAAAGTATATTCTTCTTTGCACATATCACTTACTCCACATGTACAGTAGCTTTTCACATCTAACTCTGGAAGTATTCTGAAATACATTTACATGAAAGATACATCATAGGCAGAGGTGTCCAGTATTGTTTACATGTTATTTCTACTTGTTGCAGAAACTCCCAAACCACTTAACAATAAAAAAGCTCAAAATTTATTTTTATACACAATTAATCAACATTCCACAAACATAAAAACAACAGGTCCAAATGTCCGTTAGAGGAGAACAAACTATCACCACACAATCTTCTGGGGGTTAATAACACCCCAAAACACCAGCCAGGGGTTTAACGACAACCCAAAAGGCTCAATCACTTATTGAGTGGTGAGGTGAGGACTAATAAAAGGGGAGGACTCTCAACCTTGAGGAACATCTCAGGGCAGTGTCCCAACACGTAGGAACCCTGAGGAGTCTCCTTGGGCGGCGCCCCAACCCAAGGGGAGAGCCCTTACCAGCAGCACACTGCTCCGGGTGGGACGAGCTCAAAATGGCTCCCCTGGAGCTCCATTTATACCCCAGCCGAATCTGACCTGTGGGCAATATCAGCTCATATTGGCCAAAGACCCCAACTACAGTAAATCCTTGAGAACAAGGGCACAAGAAAGGGTCAACAGCCAGGGAGTCACAATTTCATTGGGCGGGTGCACCTGCCACACTGCTGCCTATGGTTTCTTTTTTCCCACCGGAGATTACTATCTAGAATTAACAAACCTATTCTATTTTTCCTCTCTCAAGCAAAATACACCACCTCATGTCCCAGATCTCTAAGCTACAGCTATAACATCTCCTCTTGTCAACCCACCTGCCGGTCTCTGAGTGAGCCTGATGTCACATGCAACATTAAGTTTGTCCCAGTTGATGGCTGCACCTGTGTAAATGGAACCTACATGGATGACAGTGGCAAATGTGTGCCTGCTAATGAATGCCCCTGCTACCATAGAGGATCTCCCATACCATCTGGAGAAGTTGTCCATGAAAATGGGATTGTATGGTAAGTGAATGTTTTGCAAAACAATCAAGCAATAATATATGTATTTTCTTATTAAAACCTGCTACATTTTAACTGGTCTCACCCCCCCATTGTTTGCATTTCAATACAATGATATCTTATTTTTTTCAACTTTATTTTCAAATTTTAAGAATGTTACATATTCTCCTGAGCTGGAAGACAGGGACAAAGCAGCAGAATGAAGGGGAAATGGTTAATGATCTGCAACACCACTTAGACATACACAAGTCTATAGGGCCGGATGGGATCCACCCAAGGGTACTGAGGGAGCTGGTGGAAGTGCTCACCAAGCCACTGCCCACCATTTCCCAGCAGTCCTGGCTAACTGGGGAGGTCCCAGTTGACTGGAGGTTAGCAAATGTGATGCCCATCTGCAAGAAGAGCCAGAAGGAGGATGTGGGGAACCGCAGGCCTGTCAGCCTGACCTCAGTGCCAGGGAAGGTTTTGGAGCAGATCATCCTGAGTGCCATCACGCGGCACGTACAGGACAACCAGGTGATCGGGCCCAGTCAGCACGGGTTTATGAAAGGCAGGTCCTGCCTGACTGACCTCATCTCCTTCTGTGACAAGGTGACCCGCTTAGCGGATGAGGGAAAGGCTCTGGATGTTGTTTACCAGGACTTTAGTAAAGCCTTTGCCACCGTTTCCCGCAGCATTCTCCTGGAGAAACTGGCTGCTCACGGCTTGGATGGGCACACTCTTCACTGGGTAAAAACTGGCTGGATGGCCGGGCCCAGAGAGTGGTGGTGAATGGAGTTCAGTCCAGCTGGCGGCCGGTCAGAAGTGGTGTTCCCAGGGCTCAGTGCTGGGACCAGTTCTGTTCAGTATCTTTACCGGTGATCTGGACGAGGGGATCGGGTGCACCCTCAGCAAGTTTGCAGAGGACACCAAGCTGGGCGGGAGCGTTGATCTGCTGGAGGGTAGGAAGGCTCTGCAGAGGGATCTGGACAGGCTGGAGCCATGGGCCGAGGCCAATTGTACGAGGTTCCCCAAGGCTCAGTGCCAGGTCCTGCCCTCGGGTCACAACAACCCCAGGCAACGCCGCAGCCCTGGGGCAGAGCGGCTGGAAAGCTGCCTGGTGGAGAAGGACCCGGGGGTGTTGGTCGGCAGCCGGCTGAACGTGAGCCAGCAGCGTGCCCAGGTGGCCAGGAAGGCCAACAGCATCCTGGCTTGTGTCAGCGATAGTGTGGCCAGCAGGACTGGGGAAGGGATCGTCCCCCTGTACTCAGCACTGGTGGGGCCACACCTCGAATACTGGGTTCAGTTTTGGGCCTCTCACTGCAAGAGAGACCTTGAGGTGCTGCAGCGTGTCCAGAGAAGGGCAACAAAGTTGGTGAAGGGTCCAGAGAACAAGTCCTGCGAGGAGTGACTGAAGGATCCGGGGGTGTTTAGCCTGGAGAAAAGGAGGCCGAGGGCAGCCCTTACCGCTCTCTACAGCTACCTGAAAGGACAATGTAGTGAGGTGGTTTTCAGTCTCTTCTCCCAAGTAACAAGTGATAGGACAAGAAGAAACAGCCTCAAGTTGGGCCAGGGAGGTTTAGATTGGATATTAGGAAAAATTTCTTCACCCGAGAGGGTCATCAAGCACTGGAACAGGCTGCCCAGGGGAGCGGTGGAGTCACCACCCCTGGAGGTGTTTAAAAGCCGTGTAGATGTGGCGCTTAGGGACGTGGTTTAGTGGTGGACTGGGCAGTGTTGGGTTAACAGTTGGACTTGATGATCTGAAGGGTCTTTTCTGACCTACATGATTCTGTGATTCTACGATATTTCCAGTGTTACAGAGCAATTGTATTTAGGTGCATTTTCTATTTAATTCTATGATTTTTCAAGCATAAAATCATGACGCCACCAGCAAGGAGAGATCTTATGAGAAAGTAAGTAACAGAGACACATACCCATTTCAACCTATGAATTTTCCTGTTAAGCAATAATGCATATCACTTGAAAGCAGCACTAGTAGTGGTATTGAAGGAAATTCTTTCCTGAGACTGCAAAACAACATTCTGGAATTCCTTCGAAAATTCTGAAACTTGTCAAGAGGGAAGTAGCTCTTAGTCTCAATATGTGGTTTGAGGGGAAAGAAAAAATAAATTTCCCTCTTTCACAGCACTTGCATCCAGGGAAGACTGAATTGCATTGGAGTACCCAATCCAACTCCAGGTAAAAAAACCTTCCACTTATTTTCTCTTTTTCAGGTTTTGGGCAGAAATAGTTGATAGAATTGATTTTTCTTAGTGGATTTTTAAATAATAGAAGTATTTCTCATTTAGTTATAGTGTAACAGTTATAAAAGTCAGGCATGAACCTAGATTAATGATAAGACCTCTTTTTCATAAAGATTTTTTTCTGTAATACTGTGGGATTTTTTTTTCTGGTAACACAGTGCCCTGAAGTGAATTTATTTAGCAGATTGAATAGGGACAGCAATCCATACTAACTGAAATATAGTTTCCAAAGAATTTCTAGGTGGTTTTAATGGCTACAGCTGTGGGATAAACCCTGTGCTATTTCTTACTGCTCTCACTTCTTTCCTACCTCTAGCCTGTGAATCTCCCATGGTCTCCTTCGACTGTAGAAACATCACGGCAGGAACAACTGGAGTTGAGTGTCAAAAAAGTTGCCAGACTCTGGATATGCAGTGTGTAAGTATGTCATGGCTGGATGAAATGGTGCTTCCAGGTTTTGGCTATGTTCTTGGTGCTGAAGTAATTGATCTGTCTGATCTACTTGAAATCTACAACATGGACGCTTGGTTCTTGAAGCAAAAGCATAAATCCATGTTATGAAGTATTAACAATGGTAACCTTAGACCAAAATATAATAACATCCATTTTAATTCATAAGATTAGTGTCTGCCTTTCTTCAGCTACCGCATGTAACAGTAATTATTAGTGAAAATATTTAGGGCTCAGCCACACATTTTATTTCTTTAGGAGAAAACTACTGGCTATAAACTGTCTAGGAGAAATCATTCTTTTTCATACCATGATGCAGTTGTGAACCTCTGGCACATCTAATTGTTTTACTCCACCTAGGTGCATGGTTGCCACATGCCATTTCACAAATAAGTACCATAAGAGATAAACAGATTTCACTGTAATTCAACCAAACTGAAAAAAATATTTTCTTTTCAAAGCTCCATCCAATCACAAGTCACGCACTGCAAAGTGCAAGGCTTTCTTCAGCTAATAAAGAGCAAGACTTAAGATTCAATGTATTTCAAATTTCACAGACTCCAGCAGAGCAATCAGGATTAGCATATATAAAACATTTATCTTTGACAGGTTTATATTCTATAAAATCAATGGCTAATAACTTCCATTTTGTTCTGTTGTCCTATAAGTACTTGTAATCCTCTCACATTTAAACTCAGCAGCAGTGAGACCATATGAACACATTTTATGAGAATTTAATCTTCCTTTGTGTATTCTGAAATTATATCTTCCTCTTGACTTTTCCAGTATAGCACGCAATGTATATCTGGCTGCGGGTGCCCAGCTGGGCTTGTGTTAGATGGGAAAGGTGGTTGTATTGAAGAAGAGGAGTGTCCGTGTATTCACAATGAAGCCACGTATCAGCCTGGGGAAAAAATCAACGTTGACTGTAACACCTGGTAAATATTTCCTCGGAAGTAGCGTTCCTGGTTCCATCATTTGCCTTTCCAAAGATCTTAAACAGTACAGCAGCGAGGAAAGATTTGGACTGCATATTTCATCAATCATTGGATCTTTTAGTTTTGGATTAAACAGTGTGAGCCGGTTTCCTTCCGATGTAGGCAGATGGCCAAAGCACAGAAGGGAGGAAAGCTTTGGGACTGCAGTGTTCATTAAGTATTATCCTATTTTGCAGTTAATGCATTGAGAGTAGCAAAACATTTGCTTTAATTCTTTACATGAAAAATGTAAAATAATATTTTAACTCCAGAATCGATGTAACATTTACCAGGGATGAGTTGCCAAACAAACACTGAGTAGTTGGGATGTTTACACAAAGCAGTGAGTTGTTTTATTATAAAAATGTTTTATTTTCATCCCTAGTGTATGCAAGAATAGGAGGTGGGAATGCACCAAAGATCACTGTCCGGGCACTTGTGCTGTTTATGGAGATGGTCATTATAACACCTTTGATGACAAAAGGTTCAGCTTCAATGGAAACTGTGAATACACACTAGTCCAGGTACTGATAATCAGCAGTAGTAAATGAGACGTAGCCTTCATCCTGTCTACAAAAATAAAACATTTTTAAATGTTATTCTTTACCCAGGACCACTGTGGGAAGAGTGGCACAGCCAATGGGACCTTCAGGGTTATCACTGAAAATATTCCCTGTGGCAACACTGGGACAACTTGTTCAAAATCTATCAAAGTTTTCTTAGAGGTAAGAAGGTTTCGCATACAGACCAGTTTTGTTCTGTATCTGTATAGGGCTTAGGAGAAGCTTAGATATCCATAGCTTCAAAGAAGTTGGAAAAGTATTTTTAAAAGCAAATCAACTTGTAAATTAAACTTAAATCAGATTCAAGCTAAATATTTGGTAGAGCTTCCCAGATTTCTATCTTTTCTATTTCCCACCCTATCTTACACCGCCCTTGGGCAAACTACAGATCTACAGGAAAATGGTCTTTAGCAGAAATTTATCTTATCATGTCAGAAGATTATTTTATTCTGTGCAATGTAGTTCCTCCAAGACTGCCAAAACACCCTTTTTTGACCTACACCATTTAAAATACCTTTTTACCACAGTTCCAGGAACCTGAGATTTGAATTATATAGTTTTGATTGATCATATTTGGATTATTTGCTTTTACTATATAAGCCATCTGTAGTACTCTTAAAAGCAGAAAAACATGTGTAAGATCACAGCTGCAGCTACTGAGTTAATTATCACCTTTTCCTCCTGTTTCAGAGCTATGAACTGATACTTGGTGAGGAGCAGGTCAGTGTCATAAAGAGAGGACAGAATGATGAGGTGCCATATGCAGTCCGCTATATGGGTATGTACTTGGTAATTGAGACCACAAGCGGACTGATCCTCATGTGGGACAAGAAAACCAGCATCTTCATCAAGCTCAGCCCTGATTTTAAGGTGCGGAACTAGCAGTTAAATGGCAATTTACAGTCCAGATTTGGACTGGGTGTGAATTTTGTTGAGACCCTGCCAAGACCCCAAACAGGTGATGTCTCCAGCATTCCTGCAGGACATTCTGTGTTGTTTTTCATTCCTCTGGTGTCTCAGGAAGCCATGTCATCATCCTGCTGCTCTTCTGAGCTCTGCAGGCAGTTTTCAGTGCCCCTTTGACCTGACAGAACTTGGGTTGGCAAACCTTTTTCAGACTTGACTTTGTTAAAATTACCCACTGAATCTCTGTAAAGGTTATCAGACCTTATTAAAATTAAATAGCTACATGTGTAGAAAAGATTTGAGGAGTCTTGATCTTGAAGGTAATCCATTGGTTCTGGTTCTCATTGACACACAAATCAAATTATCATACTTCAAGAACATGGAAGTGAAATATTATGAGTGAAAGCCACTTGTAAAATGCTACCATGTCTTTTTCAAGCATGTACCTACACAAGTGATAAGGAAAATGTATTCCTGTTGTCATACTCCTTCTCCTAGATTATGATATATAAGTACTAAAAACTGTAGTAAATTAGGAATTTGCTATCTTATTGTATACCACAGTGACATTTCAATTAGATGTGTAATTTAAATGTAATTTAGAACTAGATATACAAACTTATTTCAGTATCATAGGTTCTTTTGCTCACTCAACCACTGGCACTTTATAAAAATGGTATTAATACAGAAAGTATGTACCTTAAATTCATAGAGAAAGCATAGCATATATTGTAGCCTATCACAGTTTTACAGATACACAAATTTATGATGAGGGATATTTCTGGATGTGCAAGGAAAACATCACTTATTTTTATACCTGTGAGGAGTCATAACAGTAAAGACTCAATGAGTACACTATGTGGCTAGACTGATGGTATTTATGACAGCTTTCTAAGGTTTGTTTTTATATGTGCATCTATTGTATAAAACAAGGATTAAATGAAAAGCTTAGCTGGCTAACTGTGAGTCCTCATTTCCTTGTTAAACACATAGTTCAAGGGTTACAATGACAAAGATGGTTTTATTATTCAGATTTAGAAGAAGAAAAGTCAACAGCAGTATCCTCCTAGCCTTAGCGGGTGTGTTCTGTTGCTAGGGAAACAGAGGATGAAAATGTTCAGAAATGGTAAAATGTAATGGCACCATACTAAGAGCTGAATTTCAAGTATCCTTTCAGTCTCAGATGTTGTTTCAAGATTTCTCACATCCATTATTATTTTATTTACTTCCTTTTGCAGGGCCAGATCTGTGGCCTCTGTGGAAATTACGATGGCAACGGCATCAATGACTTTACTACAAGGAGTCAGTCTGTGGTAGAGAATGTCCTAGAGTTTGGAAACAGCTGGAAAGTATCCTCTACATGTCCTGATGCTCACAGCATAACAGACCCATGTTCCACCAATCCTTATCGAAAGTCCTGGTCAGAGAAGCAGTGTAGCATCATCAACAGCAATGTCTTTGCTGCCTGTCACTCTCAGGTATTACCAGGGCAGAATTTTACTGCGTGAAGACTAGGTCTGTGTATTATTGAAGCTGACATCCTCATACATTTTAACATGCATGCCTAATTCATCAGCATGTTTCACTTTGAATTGTGTCAGAAAACTTCAATCTGAATCCCACTCAATGGGACAGACTTATAGTCCCCACCTGTAAGAAATAAAAAGACATGTAGTTCATAGGAAATATTGACCTAGTACAAAAGAACAATGTTTTCATAATTACTATGTATTTTCTCGTAGTGTGACTTGAATAAAAATTCTCATATACCATGTACAATACATGCACAAGCTCAGTGAAATAATAGCACAGCAATGGAGTATCAGAATAGCCTCTATCTGACACGAAATACATACAAAAAATGCAAAGCAGCTCCATGCTCTTCCTATTGCTTTACTTCATCCCACTGGCATAGACCTTCATTTTCAAGTGCAGTTGCCTAATATTGCTTGGGAACATGAATCTAATCTTCCACTAGGACACAAGCCTGGCAGTCTAAAAATCTGTCAATACATGGTTTGGATGTATCACCTGGCATCACCTTTGGTGTTTAACAGTGCATGTAAACAAAAGAAAATGAAATTACTGATGTAGACCTTTCTTCTGAGATATTACAATTTTAAGAAAATTACCTTAGCAAAGCTAAGAAAGAATTTAGAAGGCAGAATGTATAGCATTGCATTTCTTTTTAATAACAGGTTGAACCAGCAAAATATTACCAAGCATGTGTGACAGATGCTTGTGCATGTGACACTGGAGGAGACTGTGATTGCTTTTGTACAGCAGTAGCCGCCTATGCTCAAGCATGTAGTGAAGTTGGTGTCTGCATAACCTGGAGAACCCCATCAATCTGTCGTGAGTTTTATGTCATAAACGCTTCTTCTGAGACTGTAGTTAAATGTACAGTGCCTCACTGACAGCCTTGAACACACGTGCTGGGCATCTTACATATGTGCATTATAACCTCACTGTGTAGACTTCTCACTTTTCACACTGAGCTGTTTTGATGGTCATAAAATTTCACCTATTAATTCACAGTTTTCAAGACTGTTCAAGCAGCATTTCAGGGATATGATGAACAGACATGAGTCAAAAAAAGCTCTTTTCTTTTTTTTTTTTTTTTTTCTGAACATGTCTAAATTTCTGCTTCTCCTTAGCATTGTTCTGTGATTATTACAACCAACAAGGGGAATGTGAATGGCACTATAAGCCTTGTGGAGCCTCCTGTATGAAGACCTGTAGGAACCCAAGTGGAAAATGCCTCCATAACTTGCCAGGTTTAGAAGGTAAAAAGAGTTGCAAGTACCTTTAAGTGGGTACATTGTATTATATTTTTAATGGTCTTTAATGAAGTGCATTTCCCCCATCAGCTGCGTTTGCACCATTCATTTCTCTTCAACATCACTGAATCCACACGAACGAAGTATGGAAATGGGAGTTAAAAACATCTCTAGGACTGAGTCCGTGTGGGTGGGCTCTGCTGATGCTAGCTCTGCATTACTTCCTATAATTATCAGAAAAAAATAAATAGTAAAAATTATGACTATTAACAACAAGACATGCAAACACATCCTGCACAAATAAAGCTATTGCTGACTGTATCTCCTTCTCATCTTTTCTACCTTCTATATGTCCTTTTCCTTCCTTCAGGCTGCTACCCTAACTGCCCACCAGACAAGCCATATTTTCATGAGGATCAGATGAAGTGTGTTAGTCTCTGTGACTGTTATGATAATGAAGATGGAAAGATATATAGACGGGATGAATGTCATTTATGGTAAGACTTAACGTACCAGACTTGTGTACAAGGAAAACTGATCAAAACAGTGGTGTGAAATTGCATGTTCCTATTACATGACAGGACTACTTCATGCTATCTGTGTAAAAATAATGCCTGCTTATCTAATGACAGTTTTCTTACTACATTAGTAGAAAGAAGTTCTTACGTGATTTTATGTTCTGTTGAATTTGTTCCTGAGTATGCTGTAAATCCTCAGCATAAAGATACAATAAGAACAGCAAGTCCTTTATGAACAGCCTTTCTCAATTTCCCATTCCTATGGCAAGAAAAATATTGTTCCAGGAGTATAGACATCTATGAGGGGTCTCCAAGGATTCCAAGGATTTTACTACATTCTCATACTGTTTGTAGTACTTAGACTCTTTCCCTTTTTTGCCTGCTTTTTAGTACAAAAACATTGAAAGTGCAAGGAAAGTGATAAGGAGGAAAGAAATAAAGAGTTCCTTAGGACCTGTAGCTTTGCATACTATTTCACTTCACTTTTACTTATGAGTTTGGGTTTAATATAAAGAAAGATTTTGGAAAACAATGGCAAAAAAAAGAAGCCAACATGAACTGGACACTCGAGGAATAAACACAAATAAAGTGTTCTGTTTTTTGATGCTAGTATCTGGCAGAAAGATGATTAACCAAGTTATCTCATATTCAAAAAATTAGTGGTTTTTTATGTTTGTTGCAGTGAATGCACATCAGAAGGTTTACAGTGCAAGTATGATGATAAAGGTAAGACAACTAAGAAGAATTATTAAAATTAAAATACTGGATATAATTTTTTCATAGATGCCTGACAATACTCTTCTTCTGAATTACAGCATGCCACTGCATTTATGAAGGAAACAGCTATAAATATGGTGAACTCATCTACAACACCACAGATGGAACTGGATGGTGTTTCAGTGCAACATGCGATGTCAATGGAACAATAGACAGAAATATCTTTAAATGTGTCTTACTTACAACAACCCCATTTACATTTACTGTAAGTCAGCCCACAACTACTGCTTCAGGTATGCATGAATACTCTTTGAAATAACTGAAAAATCTCTGGAATGGACTGAAAATTGCCTGAAAGGGAGACCCTTTTCATCAGTTAATGGCATGTAATTTTACTTGAAACTGTTGACTACTGCTGGAGCCACCAATTCAACAGGCAGCTTCAGTTGCTAAAGACAACCATAATCAAGGATGTAGAAAAGAGTACAGCATTTCTTACAAACTGCGTTCACTGTTTCACCATGTGTTTTCCAGGGGAAAGAAATAACAGAGGTTAATAATTATTGTTCCCTAGAGAACCTCCTCATTCCCTTGCAAAGAAAAACCTGCAGTTCTAGACCAACTTCTGGAAACACAAAAGACAATCACTGCCATTTTTAAAATTACTGACCACATTAGCGCAAGCTGAAGATCAGAAATCCAGTTTAAGGGAATGCTCAAATTATCTAAAACCATTCTTTGAAACCTTTCTTAATTGCATTTAATAACCAAGTCAACAGTTTCCTTCTACTCCTGCAGTATACTTCAACACTATTCCTGCAGTTAACTCATTATTGTGACAGTGCAATTCTGAGAAATAGTGAGAAATATTTCCACAAAGTTATACAATGCTACCACAAGAGCTAAATATTTAACTTTAAGTCTTCTATTAAGTAATATTCATATAAAGAAAGGGGTATATATTCCACAAGATTATCTTCATAATGCTAAGAATATGAAAAGAAATCTTATTAAAATAAGTAGAAAATACTTATCAGATTACATATTTCATATATAGTACATGTCAATTCTATATTATAATGTATTGTATATAAAATACATGTCTTAAATATGTAATTAATATTTTATATTTATACTGCATGTTATAATATTAAAATAAGTAGAAAAGTTATTAACATCTATAAATATTTTAAAGCCTGTGTAGTTATGCAGTTAAGTGTAAATCAGTACAGAGATAATACTAAAGAGACTAAAACCTCCTCTTACTCATACTGTAGTAATTCTGATATCACATTATCCTATGTATTAATATTCCATATAAAGGATATCATATTAGCTATATTTAACTACAATTTTTAAATGTCACATAAAGTACCACTAGAAAAATAATACAGACATGAGATAAAAACCTTACCTTAGAAATTAAATTCAAGAGTGTCAAAGCAAGTTCATTAAAATTAAAATACTACATTAACATTTATAATACTACATACAACATTAAAATATATGGAACATGAATAATTTATTACTGGCAATTTCTTTAATAAGAACAGACAAGACTTATATTTCCTCCTTTTGATTACAGAAATGACAACGGCAACACCAGTGACAACTGTATGTGTGAAGAATGTATGTGAATGGTCCGAATGGTACGATTCCAGACAGCCTGAAAAAGGAGAGAACAGTGGAGATTACGAAACATTTGAAAATCTCAGAGATAAAGGACACAGTGTGTGTCAAAAGCCAAACAGTGTTCAATGCAGAGCCAAAGAACACCCAGATACAGAAATAGACAATCTTAACCAAACGGTAGAATGTAGTGAAAGAAGAGGATTAATATGTAATAACAAAGACCAACAATCTAAACACTGCTATAATTATGAAATCAGAATCTCATGCTGCAGCTACATACCATGTTCAGAAATACAAACTACAACATCAAGAAATATAGGACAATTCACAACAACTACTGCTGTAAAATCAACACCATTTACAACAGAGACGAAGACAAAACCAACAACACACAAAAAAGAAACTGAAGCACAAAAAACTGAAGTACCAAATACGTCACCGAAACTTAGAGAAAGAACGACTCCTATGGATAAAACTTCAGCTACAGCAACGACTTCACAGCTCTCAACGACAGGTTACCAGACCGCATCAACTCCAACACTAACCACCACTGTGGCAACCCAGAGCCCAACATCATCAACTACAGCCACCACCTTAACACAGCGAGAAACACCCACCACCGCTGGCACCACAGTTCTCCCAAGTACCACTGCCCCAACAACACAAGGCACGACTATCATCACGACCACCAGCAGGGCCACCACCACCACAACCTCTCCCTCTCCAACACAAGGCACGACCGTCATCACGACCACTTCTGGGGCCAGCACCACCAAGACCTCTCCTCTGCCAAGACAAGGCACCACCGTTATCACACCCACACCTACAGGGCCCACCTCAGCAGCCACCAGTACCAGCACCTCCAGGACCACCACCACAGCAAGCACCACAACGTCCACAGCCACGTCTGCTCCAGCAGAAACCTCCACTGTGGCCACCCAGGCCCCAATATCACCCACTAATCCCGTCACCCTCCCTCAGCAAAAAACAACCACCAACGCTGGCACCACGGTTCTCCCAGGTACCACTGCCCCAACAACACAAGGCACCACTGTCCTCATGACCACTTCCGGGGCCACCACCACCACCAAGACCTCTCCCCCACCCAAACAAGGCACCACCGCAATCACACCCACACCAAGAGCAGTCACCTCAGCAGCCACCACCACCGCAAGCACCACCAGCACCACAGGCAGCTGCCAGCCCCGCTGTGCCTGGACGCAGTGGTTTAACTTGGATTCGCCGAGCCCTGGGAGCGAAAATGGAGACAGAGAGACGTTTGAGAAAATCCGCGGTGCTGGTTATGCACTCTGCGACAAGCCAGAAGACATCCAGTGCCGTGCTAAAAATTACCCTCACAGGCATCTGGACGACCTGGGACAGAAATTGCAGTGCAGTCTTGACACTGGGCTTGTGTGCAGAAACAAGGATCAGATCAGAAAGTATCCCATGTGCTTTGACTACGAGGTCAAGGTGAAGTGCTGTGACCGTCAACACTGCCAGACATCTTCAGCACCCACAAGCACTACTACAACCTCCGCCAGCACAGCCTCCACTGCAGAAACCTCCACCGTAGCAACCCAAACGACAGCACCAACTCACACCACCCTCCCACAGCGAGAGGGAACAAACACCGCTGGCACCACGGTTGTCCCAAGTACCACTGCCCCAACACCACAACAAGGCACGACTGTCATCACTACCAATACTGGGGCCAGCACCACCACAACATCTCCCCCACCAAAACAAGGCACAACCAGCTTCATACCCTCTCCAACAGGGCCCACCTCAGCAGCCACCAGTACCAGCACCTCCAGGACCACCACCACAGCAAGCACCACAACGTCCACATCCACGTCTGCTCCAACAGAAACCTCCACTTTGGCCACACAGGCCCCAACATCACCCACTACTCCCGTCACCCTCCCAAAGCGAGAGAGAACAACCACCGCTGGCACTACAGTTCTCCCAAGTACCACTGCCCCAACAACACAAGGCACGACCGTCATCACGACCACTTCTGAAGCCACCACCACCACCACAACATCTCCCTCTCCAACACAAGGCACGACCATCATCACGACCACTACTGGGGCCAGCACCACCAACACCTCTCCTCCGCCAAGACAAGGCACCACTGTTATCACGCCCACACCTACAGGGCCCACCTCAGCAGCCACCAGTACCAGCACCTCCAGGACCACCACCGCGGCAAGCACCACAACGTCCACATCCACGTCTGCTCCAACAGAAACCTCCACTGTGGCCACACAGGCCCCAACATCACCCACTGCTCCCGTCACCCTCCCAAAGCGAGAGAGAACAACCACCGCTGGCACTACAGTTCTCCCAAGTACCACTGCCCCAACAACACAAGGCACGACCGTCATCATGACCACTTCTGGGGCCAGCACCACCAAGACCTCTCCTCTGCCAAGACAAGGCACCACCGTTATCACACCCACACCTACAGGGCCCACCTCAGCAGCCACCAGTACCAGCACCTCCAGGACCACCACCACAGCAAGCACCACAACGTCCACAGCCACGTCTGCTCCAGCAGAAACCTCCACTGTGGCCACCCAGGCCCCAATATCACCCACTAATCCCGTCACCCTCCCTCAGCAAAAAACAACCACCACCGCTGGCACCACGGTTCTCCCAAGTACCACTGCCCCAACAACACAAGGCACCACTGTCCTCATGACCACTTCTGGGGCCACCACCACCACCAAGACCTCTCCCCCACCCAAACAAGGCACCACCGCAATCACACCCACACCAAGAGTAGTCACCTCAGCAGCCACCACCACCGCAAGCACCACCAGCACCACAGGCAGCTGCCAGCCCCGCTGTGCCTGGACGCAGTGGTTTAACTTGGATTCGCCGAGCCCTGGGAGCGAAAATGGAGACAGAGAGACGTTTGAGAAAATCCGCGGTGCTGGTTATGCACTCTGCGACAAGCCAGAAGACATCCAGTGCCGTGCTAAAAATTACCCTCACAGGCATCTGGACGACCTGGGACAGAAATTGCAGTGCAGTCTTGACACTGGGCTTGTGTGCAGAAACAAGGATCAGATCAGAAAGTATCCCATGTGCTTTGACTACGAGGTCAAGGTGAAGTGCTGTGACCGTCAACACTGCCAGACATCTTCAGCACCCACAAGCACTACTACAACCTCCGCCAGCACAGCCTCCACTGCAGAAACCTCCACCGTAGCAACCCAAACGACAGCACCAACTCACACCACCCTCCCACAGCGAGAGGGAACAAACACCGCTGGCACCACGGTTGTCCCAAGTACCACTGCCCCAACACCACAACAAGGCACGACTGTCATCACTACCAATACTGGGGCCAGCACCACCACAACATCTCCCCCACCAAAACAAGGCACAACCAGCTTCATACCCTCTCCAACAGGGCCCACCTCAGCAGCCACCAGTACCAGCACCTCCAGGACCACCACCACAGCAAGCACCACAACGTCCACATCCACGTCTGCTCCAACAGAAACCTCCACTTTGGCCACACAGGCCCCAACATCACCCACTACTCCCGTCACCCTCCCAAAGCGAGAGAGAACAACCACCGCTGGCACTACAGTTCTCCCAAGTACCACTGCCCCAACAACACAAGGCACGACCGTCATCACGACCACTTCTGAAGCCACCACCACCACCACAACATCTCCCTCTCCAACACAAGGCACGACCATCATCACAACCACTACTGGGGCCAGCACCACCAACACCTCTCCTCCGCCAAGACAAGGCACCACTGTTATCACGCCCGCACCTACAGGGCCCACCTCAGCAGCCACCAGTACCAGCACCTCCAGGACCACCACCGCGGCAAGCACCACAACGTCCACATCCACGTCTGCTCCAACAGAAACCTCCACTGTGGCCACACAGGCCCCAACATCACCCACTGCTCCCGTCACCCTCCCAAAGCGAGAGAGAACAACCACCGCTGGCACTACAGTTCTCCCAAGTACCACTGCCCCAACAACACAAGGCACGACCGTCATCATGACCACTTCTGGGGCCAGCACCACCAAGACCTCTCCTCTGCCAAGACAAGGCACCACCGTTATCACACCCACACCTACAGGGCCCACCTCAGCAGCCACCAGTACCAGCACCTCCAGGACCACCACCACAGCAAGCACCACAACGTCCACAGCCACTTCTGCTCCAGCAGAAACCTCCACTGTGGCCACCCAGGCCCCAATATCACCCACTAATCCCGTCACCCTCCCTCAGCAAAAAACAACCACCACCGCTGGCACCACGGTTCTCCCAAGTACCACTGCCCCAACAACACAAGGCACCACTGTCCTCATGACCACTTCTGGGGCCACCACCACCACCAAGACCTCTCCCCCACCCAAACAAGGCACCACCGCAATCACACCCACACCAAGAGTAGTCACCTCAGCAGCCACCACCACCGCAAGCACCACCAGCACCACAGGCAGCTGCCAGCCCCGCTGTGCCTGGACGCAGTGGTTTAACTTGGATTCGCCGAGCCCTGGGAGCGAAAATGGAGACAGAGAGACGTTTGAGAAAATCCGCGGTGCTGGTTATGCACTCTGCGACAAGCCAGAAGACATCCAGTGCCGTGCTAAAAATTACCCTCACAGGCATCTGGACGACCTGGGACAGAAATTGCAGTGCAGTCTTGACACTGGGCTTGTGTGCAGAAACAAGGATCAGATCAGAAAGTATCCCATGTGCTTTGACTACGAGGTCAAGGTGAAGTGCTGTGACCGTCAACACTGCCAGACATCTTCAGCACCCACAAGCACTACTACAACCTCCGCCAGCACAGCCTCCACTGCAGAAACCTCCACCGTAGCAACACAAACGACAGCACCAACTCACACCACCCACCCACAGCAAGAGGGAACAACCACCGCTAGCACCACGGTTGTCCCAAGTACCACTGCCCCAACACCACAACAAGGCACGACTGTCATCACTACCAATACTGGGGCCAGCACCACCACAACATCTCCCCCACCAAAACAAGGCACAACCAGCTTCATACCCTCTCCAACAGGGCCCACCTCAGCAGCCACCAGTACCAGCACCTCCAGGACCACCACCGCGGCAAGCACCACAACGTCCACATCCACGTCTGCTCCAACAGAAACCTCCACTTTGGCCACACAGGCCCCAACATCACCCACTACTCCCGTCACCCTCCCAAAGCGAGAGAGAACAACCACCGCTGGCACTACAGTTCTCCCAAGTACCACTGCCCCAACAACACAAGGCATGACCGTCATCACGACCACTTCTGAAGCCACCACCACCACCACAACATCTCCCTCTCCAACACAAGGCACGACCATCATCACGACCACTACTGGGGCCAGCACCACCAACACCTCTCCTCCGCCAAGACAAGGCACCACTGTTATCACGCCCACACCTACAGGGCCCACCTCAGCAGCCACCAGTACCAGCACCTCCAGGACCACCACCACAACGTCCACATCCACGTCTGCTCCAACAGAAACCTCCACTGTGGCCACACAGGCCCCAACATCACCCACTGCTCCCGTCACCCTCCCAAAGCGAGAGAGAACAACCACCGCTGGCACTACAGTTCTCCCAAGTACCACTGCCCCAACAACACAAGGCACGACCGTCATCATGACCACTTCTGGGGCCAGCACCACCAAGACCTCTCCTCTGCCAAGACAAGGCACCACCGTTATCACACCCACACCTACAGGGCCCACCTCAGCAGCCACCAGTACCAGCACCTCCAGGACCACCACCACAGCAAGCACCACAACGTCCACAGCCACTTCTGCTCCAGCAGAAACCTCCACTGTGGCCACCCAGGCCCCAACATCACCCACTACTCCTGCCACTCTCCCAAAGCGAGAGAGAACAACCACTGCTGGCATCAAGGTTCTCCCAAGTACCACTGCCCCAACAACACAAGGCACCACTGTCATCACGACCACTTCTGGGGCCACCACCACCACCACAACCTCTCCCTCTCCAACCCAAGGCACCACCGCCATCACACCCACACCTACAGGGCCCACCTCAGCAGCCACCAGTACCAGCACCTCCAGGACCACCACCACTGAAATCACCAAAACATCCACAGCCACGTCTGCTCCAGCAGAAACCTCCACTGTGGCCACCCAGGCCCCAACATCACCCACTACTCCCACCACCCTTCCCCATTCAGGAATGACTAGCAGTATACGTGGTACCGTTATTCTTCCGACATCTGTTTCTTCCACTGGACAAACTACTGTTTTTCCCCCAGGTTTCACTACCACAAGCAGCCTAGGTATGTCATTGTCTACCTCTGGAAAAGTAACAAACAGCTATTTCAGTAGAACAAAATTGGCATCGCTGTTTTCTGTGACTTCTTCCCCTATCAGTCCTATTTCTTCCAACACGTAAACTACTTTTTCATTTAACTTTTCCTCTACTGCTACTGCCCATGTTAGACAAGTGTGTGAGTGGACCCCACAGCTTGATATTAATTATCCTCAGTTTGAGGGACATAGTGGCAACTCTGAATCTTTTTAAAACTTTAGAGCTTAGTATTGTAAGATTTGCCAAATCCCAGACAGTATTCATCATAGATCTAAAATATTTCCACAATCTCCACTTAGCAGTAGTTCAAAAAATTAAATGCAACAATAACGTTGGCCTGATTTGCTGACATGTTGCATCATCCTCTCCAATACATTAAAAATATGAGATCAAAATCCTGTGCTGCAAACTAAAGTATGTCTTGTGTTCAACAGTGACTATAACTGGTACATCACAATCAAGTCATGTTACAACAAGTACTTCTCCAATCTTCAGTTCTTCCCCCAGCATACCTGTCACAACAGAAACAACATATGTTACATCAAACAGAATAACTCCATGTTTTTGTCATGTGTTTGGTAATTTGTTTTCTCCTGGTAAGTGTCTTATATTATGGTTATAAAAGTTTTCATAAGTAATATAAACTCATAATACTCTATTCAGTTAAAGATAACTGTTCAAAATTATCTATATATAGAACTTTTTAAACATAAATACACTTTATATTTTCACAATATTTTACTGTTTTTTTTTTTTCCCTATGTATTTTTGTTTGTCCTTTAATTTCTCCTCCGATTTTCTTCTACAGGGGAAGTGGTATACAACAGAACAGATAGGGCTGGCTGTAATTTTTACGCACTTTGCAGCACGGAATGCGAAATTCACCCATTCCAGGGGCCATGTCCTGTGACAACTCCTTTCACTTCAGTTGCCTCAGAAACTACTACACAAGCCGCCTCTTCCACAGAATATGTGTTTTCCTCTGTCTCACCAACCACAGCAACATCCCTAACAACTTCAGTAGAAAGAAACTGTACTGATGTCAATCCTCCACGAAAGGTGGTTCCCCTCGTTACTTTCTAATATATCTCCATTGCAAACCCAGGCCAATTCCTGTCCGCTAATAGCCAATTCAAACCAACTTGCATGTATTTCAGTAACAAAGTCGGTCATGTTACAAATAAACTGATAGCACACAATTCTTCACCCAGGCATTACCAGACTTTTAATTAATCTGGATATGGAAAAGCTCACTAATACCATGGCAGAGACTTCTTTTTTTTTTAATCAAAGGCATTTAAATGTTATAGAAATAAGTAGACCAGCTACAAAAGTGTGAAAATCTCATTCTTTCTACACAGAAGACAATTCTGTGGTGGCTCTCAGCTTGCCTGCTCTTAAGGCCTGAAATCATATGCTAAGAAAACTCTAATCTGAACTCCCTACCAAATTTGGGAGTCTATGTCAAGTTGAAACAGAACAACTAGGGTGAGAGAGCACTTAAGAATAAACCATTTACATATTTTCAGCCTGGAGAGAACTGGACAAGTGAATGCCAGGAGTGTGTCTGTGACCCCCTCACTGCCACCATACAATGCCAGCCGCTCCCATGCCCAACAAATCAGACACAAATTTGTGATACAGGATTTGTTTCCGTGTCTGTACCAACAAAAGATCCGTGTTGTCCTGCATTTAAATGTGGTAAGTAGTAAAAATACAAATATAAATACGAGGCTGAAGACTCTGGTAAATTACATTTGCACTTCTCTTAGTACCTAAGCAAGTTTTTCATGTATCACGATAACAGCAAAACTTTCCTTAAATTGTTCTGGCTCAGTGAACACACATCAATTTTTGGCTAAATATGCATTAGAAGTTTATTTAAAAACAAAATGTAATTTTCACTTAAGTTTGCTGAGAGAATTGTAATGGGTGGGAGAGCAGGATAATACTTTGAAACTTCAAGTGGTCTGTGTAGCTGAACTATCCCTGTATCTGTAATCATAAAGGTTATGAATGCACTTTATTTAATGTTATTAATGTAACATTGGAGCACATTAACATTAGCCTAACTGTAGCTAAACTAAGATGCATAAACATAAGAGTAAGCCACCAGAAAGCTTAGCAGTTAACTACAAAAGCAAGTACCATGAAGCAGTAATACAAAGTGCATTGTAATCATTAACTGAATTGTCAATATATGAAAAATAATAATTAGACTTACACTGTTGTTGAATGCTCATGAAAATTTAAAAATCAGTTATATATGTTTATATACATAAATTTTTATGTACATGTATTTTTATACACACATATTTATGTAAAAGAATAAAAACAAAAGGTAGCCATAAATTGAGCTCAAAACCGGAAAGTCAAAACAAAGGAACAACAAGTTTGAAGTAGCTCAGTGAGAGACATGAATGGGCTCTGTCATGTTGTCAAATTATGTATGGTAACAATACCTGTTCACTTGGAGTCAATCTTCCATCCAAGCCATGCTATGAGAAGCCATAAAGATTCTATAACAAAGGCATCTTTGAAGGTTATTTGACTTCCAAGATTCAAGGAGGAAACAACTAATCTAATTTGAAATGAACCTGATATCAAAAGGGCAAAAATGAGATTTTTCATGCATAGCTTGGGATTGAAGCCTTTACTCCTCAAGTCTTCTTGAATTTAAAAAAATAAACTTTACTTAAACAGTCAACTATACTAAGTATGAGGTTTAAGCATGTAGGGAGGACTTAAGTTTTCCATAATCTCTATGTTACTAACAAAGCTTGATAACATCTTGACTTCTCAAGGAGTCTCACAATTTGAGTTTACTCCAGAACTATTTTCTTGTTTGTTTTTCAGTACCAATACCTGGCACCTGTGTGATTAACGGTAAAATGTACACGGTGAGAATGTTATACTTATAGTGATATATTGCTGGAAGTGAAATGTACACCTTTTCTATCAAAAAAAAAAGCCTTTGAGAAGGGTCTTCACCCAGTACATGGGATTTTTTTATCTCTAGCCTTTAACTGGAAGTTATTTTTTTTTCTAATGTGAAAACCAAAATTGTCACAGCAGAGTTCCTCAACATGTAGCATAAAACAAGAACGTAAGCTCTCTTCCACTTCTGGAATTAATGAATTTTCTAAATGAGTTGATGAATATCCCAAACTCAACCAATCTTTGAAATAAGCCCAGAGAACCTTCAAAAATAAAGCAAGGCTTTTTGCTTTTATTGATACTTAAATCTTTTGCTAAAATTGGTACTTAGGTCATTTAATCAAAATTTTAAAATTAGCACTGGAGCCTTTTGGGGACACATTTCAGAAAGACTAAAATCCACGTGTAAATTTGTATCTCTGTTTATGCATCTGCATATATATCCAATTGTTTTAATCTCAGTTTGTAAATTATAATTGTTTTATAACCACTGAATGTGATTACAGGGTGAAAAAAATCTTAAACGGAGCATTGAAAAGCTGGTAAAACAGCAGTACAAACCAGTCTTAATTGCATTTTATTAATTTACTTTTTTATATTGCTTCATTTAGTTTCCTCCTAATGTGTGCTTTCTTGCAAGGCATAAAGCCAAGCAACTTTAAGTTCAGAGCTAAACAACTCAGTTGCACTCACATTTCAGCAACCTTAATGGTTCTCAGTAATGCTTTCAACTCTGCCTATACATTACATAAAACTGTTGCCATTTGAATTTTTTTTCCCTTCTGTCTTCCAGGTTGGAACGTCAACAGTAACCAACTCATGTGAGAACTGTACCTGCACTTCTCAGACAGATCCAGTGACTAAGGCAAATATTGTGAATTGTGAGACAGTTCAATGTGAAACATCTTGCCCACTGGTGAGTTCAGACCCTTGAGGCTGCCCAGTCAGCCCTCAATTACATGAAGACTAGAATTCTCCATCACCAACTCAACATACTTTCCCTTTCATCTCCTTGTGAGTAGGGTCAGCAATATGTGACTGAGGATGGAGAGTGCTGTGGGAAGTGTACTGAAGTAGCTTGCAGAATCAAACTAAGTAACAACACTGTTCAAGTGCTCAGTGTAAGTATTCCTTTCATTTTCATCTCTCTCTATCAGGCAGTACAGGTTACAACAGCTAAGAGTCAATTCATGTCCCTTGCTAGTAAATATCTAATTAATACGGAAATCGCTCTGTAAACAGCACATCAGTTTTCTGAATTGAACTCTTACTTGGAATAACAAATTATTGATATGTGTGGTTTACCTAGGCAATGGTTTCCAATTTGTCGTCTGAGTGTTCAGATCCAGGATTTGCACTTTCAAGCTAGCCACAGTGCAAAATTTCACTTCTGCCACTCTAAAGAATTTCAGAAGCGTCTGAGAATCTTTAAGCTGCGAGAACTTAATTAGCTCAGACATTTCTTAAGTAAACACACTGTACTTGATCACAATGAAAAAAATTAATTATTTGCTCTTCTTATAAAATCTTAGGTTGATGACATCCTGCCACTCGATAATTGCAGCCATTACAAATGTGAAAAAATTGAAGATCAATTTGTTGCAGTCCAAACTAAAAAAGTATGTCCCGAGTACAGCCTGGGAGAGTGTGATCTGGTAAGTTCTAATCAATTCTTCATTGATTGAATGCAGTTTAAAATAACAAAGAGGAGCAAGGAAGAATACAACAAATCACTTTCACTAAAGTTGCAGGAATGTCTAGAGAATGAAATCAATCTTGCTGTAACATTAGTAATAAGAAATACTTGGTAATTTTATATGAGACTACAAGGATTTAAGACTTTTATGGTGGGGACAGTAAGTCATCCCTCGCTTCATGCAGTGCTCATCACAGCGTCGCCTGCCCCGTTTCATTAACGCTAATTCATATTCTTACTCATGATTGTCATCTGTGCATTAATACAAATCCTTCTTCTTTACTTTCACAAAGGATGAAACAGAGACTACCCCTGATGGCTGCTGCAAAATATGCAAATGTAAGTAATGATGTGTTCATGTTTTCTGCTTGAAGAGCACTGTACTCAACTTCTACCTAATCTGAGTGGATGGAATGATTCTTCCTTCACTCCTTCAGTTTTCACTTACTCAATTTATCAGGACCCTGTGTTTCACTATTTATTCAAAAGGAAAAAGCAAATTTGTTTTTCTCATACTGAATACAACTCAAACCACCAACACTCAAGCCTCTGTGGTATGTTCCACAGACACTATACAGCTGAGATCAAAGAATCACCTGAAAACTCCAGATACATTACAGAGTATCCCCTCTGCCCCCCACCATCACATCACATACTTCAGATTCTCAATAATCAGACATCATGCACTTTGATATTTGTTTTAGCATTCATTTAGTTCTGAACTAGAGATCTGAAGTATATGTTTTTTTTTTTTCCCTCTTCATGAAGCCACAAACTGCAAACCTTACAGCAAAAAAACTGTGATCCGACACGGAGACTGTGAATCTTCTGAACCTGTTGAGCTGACATATTGTGAAGGAACTTGTCCTGGCTCCTCAGTGTAAGTTCCAAAAACTTAATTTAGCATCCCTATGGCTTCATTTATACTTCACTTATAATGGTGTCTCAAGTTAATCAGTCACCCAAGGGTACTGAGGGAGCTGGTG